ACAAACATCATCGGTCCATATGGTATTAGCACAGCCAACGTGAACGATGACCGGCTACTCTCATTGTGCGCCACTCACACGGCTTGACGATCACGAACACTCGGTTTACACTGAGTGCGAGTGTGGTAGCAACTTAGGCACGCTCACCTGCTCGACTATGCCGTCGTACGTCAGCATGGCACGCGTGAATTGCGCATGACATGTGTACTGTGTGGAGCTGAGTGTGGCACTGATTACAACTTGGTGTGGACCAAACTGTACATATCTTTTTGCAAATCTATTTATTGCACTCGTGCCGTGTACCGACGGAAATATACCGTTCTTTCCCTAAGTACTGCTAAGAAGAGGATCGAACTGGAGAAGGCGATAGCTGCCCACCTTGTTGATGGCACCACATCCATGAACAGCTGACTGCTAATGCCGAAGAAATGACCTGGTGTGCAAACTGTAAGTAGCCCGATTAGTTTGATGACAACAGTGCGGCCATTGGTGTCGGCGAACAATGCAACGTACGTTGCACATGTGGCGGACCCTGATGACTGCGAGAAGGAGAGTCATTTTCGCCAACATTCATGGCGATTGACTCGAGAGCTCCGTCGCATTAAGAAGGCAGAGTGGACGGAGAAAGCGAATCATATAGAATGTTACGCCGAACGGCATCAGCATAAGGAATACTTTGACTCCTTGAAGGCGGTCTATGGACCGAGGTTAGAGGCGCTGAGGACGCTGCTCGATGCTACTTCAGGCGTTGCCTGTACACAGACTGCAGACATAATGCAGATCTGGCGAAATCACTTTAACTGTCTCTTGAACAATCGTCCAGAGATTAACTGGTCTGTGTTGCACGGGCTGCCACAACAAGAGATGAAGTTGTGTCTTTCCGACACTGGATGAGACGCAGAAAGCGCTTGCTCAGCTGCGAAACGGCAACTGCGCCGGTTCCGATAAAATGCCGCTAGAAGTATTGAAACGCAGCGGACCCGCTTTGCGGTATGCGCTGCACTAGTTGGTACAACGCATTTTAATTGAGGAGGAAGGGCCGGTCGAGCTGTAGGATGTTCTTGTCCTACCACTGTACAAACGCAAATGAAGCAAGCAATGGGCCACGAATTATCGTGGCATCAACTTGCTGAGTTGTGTGGGGAAGGTGATCATCCGAATTTTGCTCAATCGTCTCTTCACTCAGGTCGTTGAACCACACGTTACGGCAGAGCAGTGTGGATTCCTTTCGGGCCACAGCATTTTTGATATGGTGTTCGCGGCTCCTCAGCTGCAGGAGAAATGCAGCAGTTCGTCCCCCTGTCAACCCAGCCAAGTCTGTATTTATGAGCCTGGGGAAGGGTGCTGATGGCCGAACCTACACCCTTGACGGCCAACCGCTATATCCCACACCCTCCGTGAAGGACCTAGGTGTACTGTCGCGCTACGATTTGAAGTCCGTGGACAACACGAACAGGCTATATCGTAACGGACTGCGCATGCTTTGGGCGCTCAAACGTAGCTTCGGCCCATGGTCTGAAGAGGTTGCCACTCGCCTCTTCTCTTCCATCATTAGAACAATGCTAGGGTACGGTTCGCCCGCCTACTTTCCGATTACCTGAGGTGAGGCACAAAAGATCGAACAGGTCCAACACGTTGCTACCAGGCTCATCCCTAGTTTACGTGGCTGGGGGTATGAAGACCGGTGCGAGAAACTAGGACTCTACACTTTGTCCTACCGTCGGATGCGAGTCGACCTCATTATGACCTACCGTATTCTACATCTCGGTGACTTCTCCATGCTGAGACAAATGCTGCACTTACAAGGGCCATACAGCACACGCGGACACAGATACAAACTTGTCGTGCCGAATGTGAAACGTGTTCCCCACCCACTGCGCTTCGAACGGAGAGTGGTAAATATTTGGAACAGTTTGCCTGAACATGTGATGGCGGCAACGTCTGTGCAGCAGTTCAAAACGTTGTTAGATTTATATTTTACCACTATTCGATTCAGAGAACGATTGCACAATTACGATGACGTCACATTTGTGAGTCCTGCAATACCGTGAGTCAGGTATTTTAAATGTTAAGTGAGAACGATAACGATATTCACGGCTGACGATTTTTAAAAGGTTTTTCACCATATTTCGAAAGAGGTTTACAGAATTCATTTCTACTTTCTCTATAATGCAGTATTCAGAAACTAGCCGTTGTACTCGCTCTCTGTTGCCTTCACCAAGGCATTTGCTACAGTGAACCGCAAGGCACGATGGCTGGCGTTGGGTAAGTTCGGTTGTCCGAATAAGTTTATAAGTTTAATTGGATGTCTGCACAATGGTATGCGGGCGAGGGCGCAGCTCTGTGGACAAACCGCGGATGACTTTGATGTTATTTCTGGTGTGAAGCAAGACTGTGTCTTCTACAGCCACGTTTCATCAACGGAGCCGGCCCACACTCCTTCAACAAGCAGAGCAGAACCATGCATGCCTGCGTGGGGAATCATCCGTATCAAACGTACACGAGACGGTGGCTGGTCCATAGCCCATTCCACACTGGATTGCTGGAACCACTCTTTGAGCCTAGGACCGTCACGAAGACCGTACACCCCGCCCCCAGCAACTTTTCACAGTCTCGTGGTTTGAGGATAGTAGACAGGTAGACACCTTGTCAGCGTTCACATCAAGCACGGCCGCACCAGAGATATCAGTCAACAGCCAACATCTGAAATGCAAGAAACTCAACACGTATGCGCACGTACAGACCAAATGCAACGATGATCTAGCACATGTGCCGTATCGACCGCGCTATTGACCTGGGTTAATAAACGGAATTGCATTGGAAACAGTTACTATGCGCTGCGTTGATAATGATTATCTATTCAGCTAACTCGTCTTCTCTTAAATGTTGGCCCACGTGGGTGGCTTGCCAAACCACATTGGGTGAAGCACTCGCGACCTTATTTGCTACTGCATCGTGCTCTTGACGTTTCTCTTCCGCATGCAATAGTGTTTACTGTACCTGGACAACCGTCCTGTTGTTGAGCTCTTGTCATTCGCGCCTCTGATCCCTAACACCTAAAACCAACATTAGTTCGGGATAAGCTCACTTTTATCATGTCCTGGTAACGTAGCGTCGGTTTTTCCACATTCCGTTTACCTGCACTAAGCTGTCCATATTACAGCTCCTTAGGTATCCGAGTCGAATCCATGCCGCTGATATGTCTGATCCACCTCAGATGCCGCAGCAGAAGTATGCAGTCTACTGCATACACGCCACTGCGGTGCAGCGATTCCATGTCTGTAACTCGGTTATCCCAACTGATGTGCAGAATCCGACAAAAGCACGGTTGATGGAAGCGCTCCAGATAACGGACGTCCTTCTGGTACAGTGTCCACGTTCCATTACCTTATAGAAAAACCGACAACGCCATCGACCGGTATACTTTCAGCTTCATCCCAACAGTAAGTTGGTGGTTGTTTCACACGCGATATTCCAGCTTGCCAAAACCAACAGCCGTCTTCGATCTGCGGCTGCGCATCTCGCTCGTCATCACTAGTTTGGTGGATATTGCACTTGCATTTCTGTCTTCAGTATATCACCGGCAACCTGGATTTGCGATATGCACAAGAATTCCGTTCCTGGTGAAAGTTGAAAAGGACAGTTTTGCTTTTCGGATTTTGGAACACCCGCCTTGTGTCTTGGATTGAGACACGCAATCCCAATTGTGGCCTCGGTTGACTTTGAACTCGATTTCTGCGAATATGGTCACTGCGACCGTCACCAAAATGCAGGTAAACGATGGCAGTAGATCGGCGCCGGTAGCATGAACATATCAAGAGTGCGGTTGCCCAGCTTCATGAGAAGACACTACTGCATGTGTAAAGGAAACGTGGGTTGAGGAAGCGACAGGCGACGATTGTGGATAACAGTCGACGTCGAGCGCATTGTGTTGTAGCACATGCAGTCGCAAGTGCCTCAGTCAATCTGACTTAGTAAGCCACCAGCATCACCATGCGGGACCATCATCTAAGAGAGGACGAGTAAGCTAACTATTGGGTTTGCTTTCTACCAGCTACTGCTACTTACCTGCTATCAATCCCGCACTGAAGATGCCACCTCGAATGGTGACGAAACGTCTGCAACCAAGTTGCCCAGCTCGGAGAACTCCACAACAACTGAGCAAGCCTCCCGAGCTACCAATATTCCAAATCATTTCAAAGCTAACTATTTAATTAGCAGCAGCACAGCGCTTGTTAAGTATTCTGTTTCCTCCTCAATTCCGTTTATCAACCCGGGATATTAATTCACTTGATGTGATACCTATGCGAGATCATCGCTGCATTTGGTCTGTACGTCTGCCTGCGTGTTGAATTTCTTGCATTTCAGGTGTTAACTGTTGTTTGTTATACCCGGTGTGGCTACGCTTGATCTGAATGTTGACAAGGTGCCTACCTGTCTAATACCCTCCACTTTGCTTAGACTGGCTCCAGGAGACTCTTAATCGTTGATGGGGGAGACGGGATGCACCGTCTTCGTGGCCGTGCTAGGCTCAGAGTGGGTCCATCCAGCGTGGAACGGATTACGGCCCAGGCACCGCCTTGTGTACGTCTGGTACGTATGATTCCCCAATTAGATAAACAGGAATGCTCCTGTTGTGCATGTTGAGGACTGTGGGCCAGCTCCATTGATGAGACATGGCTCCCATCCGCTTGCCTTCCACTTACTTCTTCGGGTTTACACCGTATATGGGGTATATGGACGAGTGCAACGCAAACCACCTATGGTCCCTCCGTCGGCTCAGGTGTCTTATGGCTTTCCCCATGAAGACCGCAGTGACAGGCAAATCGAAACCGGATGCTGTCAACCATATACGAACATGTAACTTTTTTGCGTCACATTAACAGGTATGTCTAAAATAGTATACTGCTTGCAACCTACTTTCTGTCTGAGGTTTTTGTGTTAAACAAAGAAGCTCGATCGACTCGCTGGCGATGCCATATCTCGCGGGTTTGGCTGTAACAAAGATCAGCAAGGCTCTATTTCTTCTTAACGGCGTCATATACTTCTGTGGACATTGAACTCTCCAGCGATTACCAAATGCAGTGTCGACACTGCATCCCTCTCGCTGTTTTCATACATTGCAAATCGACTGCCTGTTTGCTTGTTCAACCATCGGTTATCGTTTGCAGTTCCAAAGGCTACTTACTTTGTACCAATGGTCTCTTCCTCTGTAGGTACAGTATCTCCAGCCCGCGATACTCCCATAAATGCTCCCTGTGGTGCCGTCGAACACTGTGACCCAACACACGCATGTCCTTCGAACGCGAACTCAGTTGAGTCACAACAAGATACCGATACTCATTGCACCCAATCGGCGCCCAGATGTTCAACTCCAAGGTTAGTTTCCCCTATTTGTTTGCTGTTTTCGAGCACACTTCGCGTGAGGACAGAAACCAGTCAAGTTAACTGTGCTGTTTCTCATTTTTGGACCAAAGTACACCAGTCACTCCGTTCGTTTCTTGCAGCGTGTCCATTAATTTTTCGCCCTTTTTACATTTGATCGACACTTGACTATTTGACTCTTTTTGTTCCCCATTGTGGTTACAATTTTCCGCAACACCTTTAAGCCTTGTCCATTCTTCAGATCCGTAACCACACAGCTGCCCCGCATACTAATACTCACTTTATTCCTCTTTGCATGATGCTTTCACCTATTTCACGGCCTTAGCAACCGAAGTTTGGTTAATTCGACTGTTCCTATTCGGGCCTAGGCATTACTTCATGTGCACCCACACGCTCTTTTCTTCGCGAGTATCACATTCAATCTTATTCGTATGTCTGTTTGGGGTCTTGCTCAGAATATACCATTGCTAGTTGCTGCAATGTGGATATGTTCAGTTCTGTACACTTTAGCTAAACAACTATGATCCAAGCACTGAAGTGCGGTGCATCCAGTTACCACGACTCACATCACCGAGATAGCAATAAATAACGATGACAATATGATGGGGTTGAATGCAAATAGAATGTCAAGAAAACGGAAGCAAAAGCGAAGTGCCTCAAACCAATCAGAATAGAACGAAAATTAACGGTCAGATGCAAGAAACTGAGTGCAAGAACATCACTGATTGTGTCATGTCTGCTAGGGTCTCCAACCACTGGTGTGGACCATCCCGAGGTCCCCCGTCACGAAGACGACACGCACCAGTCTGACCAAGTCTCTCAGCCAATTTCCTCATGTCTTTAAGCCACGTCTTGGATTGACCACGTCGGACTTTCGCCCAACTTGGCGCAGCCACGGTATATAATGCACGCTGAGGAAGCCAGTCAACGGACATACGGAGGACATGACCTAACCAACTTAGGCACTTTAAATTCAGCAACCACTCGAATGAGACATCAGAAGGTATTTTGTCATAAACTAACTGGCGAACCTCAGTATTGCTCACCCGGTGTTTCCACCATACATGAGCCCTACTCCACCAGTCAAACACGGCCAAGCGTTTAATGTCGTCGTCGCGAATTAGCCAGGTCTCTGATTTATACAGTAACACTGGCGTTATCACAGCGTTATGCACCCTCTCTTTCACTGACAGACTGATATCCCACGTCTGCGTAAATGATTGAACCTCCGGAGAGCAACTTGGGCCCTACTGATACGCGAAGTAACCTCTTAAGTGACGTAACCACCAGAGGTTACACATCTACCAAGGTACATTGATTGATCCACCACTGTGGATGTTCGGTAATAACTAGAACTTGTGACGTATCGGTCCAGTCCTGCAGCATTACATTGCAATTTGAGGATGAATATCGCATGCTGAAGCGTGCAGCACTACACACTAGTCTATCCACTAGAGGGGGTTTTTCCCGAGAAGAACAAGCTGGTTTTCGCCCAGGCCGAAATTGAATTGATCATATCTTCACGCTCTGACAAATTCTCGAGCTCTGCCACGTTCACCGTCGAACAACAGTCGTAGCCTTCATTGAAATCCGCGCGGCAGTCAATTCAGTAGACAGCTACTTTGTGTGCTCGATAAGTTTGTTGCCATTTTGAGGGAACTGTACAGTCACACATCGGGCAAAATTAGGGCTTACGGCAGACTTTCCTCTTCGTTTGCTGTCACCAGTGGCGTTCGCCAAGGTTGCCCTATTTCACCTTTCCTTTTCAATTTTGCCATCAAAGGTATTGTGCAATGAGCGCTAGAAGGTGTCCAGAACTGCGGTTTTGAGCTTCTTCCTGGCGCCAGAATCGTGGACTTGGACTACGCCGACGACATCGCTTTGCTGGATGGCGACCTGCAAACCGTCCAGAACACCATGAACCGCCTAACGATTGAGACATCTGATTACGGCTTGGATTTCATTCCAGCCCAATGGAAAGTGCTATTTCATGATTGGCATTGTCCTGCGTCCGCGCTCTCCATTGCTGGCGGCATTCAGGATTGCTTCACTTATCTAGGGAGTTGCATCATGGCCGGTGGCAATGTTAGAGAGATCAGGTTTCACAGCTCATTGCAAAAGCCTGCCTTGTTTTCATCTAACTGAGACACCTATGGCGTTCTCGTGATGTCAGTCTCAAGCTCAAGGGCAAGGTATACAATGTCTCTGTCCGTACCGTCCTGCTGTACAGCTGTGAGACCTGGTCCATTCGCTCGGAAGACGTGAAACAACTGTCTGTTTTTGACAACCATTGTCTGCGAAAGATTGCTCGTGTGTGGTTGGCAAAATCACATTGAACGATTGCTTGGAGCGGCAGTCCCAACGTTTGAAACCTTGTTCTCAGACACCGCATGCGTTGGCTCGACCACGTACTACGGATGCCAGCCTATCGCCTTCCTCGAAGAGCGTTATTTGCACTTCCCGGAAACGATTGGAAAAGCTATCGCGATGGACTACCAGTGGCTTGAAAAATTAGCATGAAGAAAGCAGCCTTCAGCTTGACATCAGTTCCGTTAGCAGCGAAGCATCAGCCTAAATGGCTGATACACTGATGATGATGCTGCTGATGATGATGATGCTGATGATGATGATGATGATGATGATGATGAATGGTTCGTGCCCAAGCCGACGCAACATATTCAGTGCGGTCTGTTGTTCTAGGGAACTAGCCTGATTGTCACTTGTCACCACTCGCGTACGCACATCATTGTTGCGGATAGGCTGGTGCCATTCGGCACCGGCAATGCTCTGCAGATAGCGATGATCAACATCTTGGAGGCGCTTTAAACGCTGAGATCGAAGGGGCCAAATCTCATTCCAAAGTCCTAGGACCGGTGTCACTGTGTCCTTGTGCCCACGACTTTTCAGACGAAGGGAAATTCCTTTCTGTTGCTTGTGTTGTCGCAGATTCAAGAAGTCAGTTCTCGCTTTTGCAATACATAAGCTGACCAGTTCCTATACGCCCATCATTGCTGATGCGGCTGCCAAGGTATGTGAGGTGATCAACTACCTCGGGTTTTTCGCTATCTGGCCTCAGGGCTTCATCAAGTGGTTGGTGGTCCTGCAACAACGCTTTACGCTTTGAAAGTGCGAAGTTATGTCAAATAATGCGACCACTCTGGATAGGTTATTCAGAGTTGATTGGACCGCCCTAACATCGTTAAACATCAAGTCGATATCACTCGTATCATTAAGATCAGTTAGCTTTTCACCAGGCAGTACCTCAATGCCTGCATCATGAAGCTCCGCAAGTAGCGGCGTCCGCAACGCAGTTGCACGAAAGTGGAGCAATTGGGCAACCCTGAAGAGCACCACTTGCTGTCGGGAAGCTACCTGATTAGTCACCATAGACCCGGACGCAGCCTGGGTGGTATTCAAGCGAAAGGCGCGTATACTAATTATATATCTCATGGAAACATCTTCCCACGCAAATAGCTCGAGCAGACTAGATCGATATGATGCACAGTTGACGTCTCGGAACACAGCTGTTGTCAATGCGATACGTGTGGCGCTGTTCTAACACGTGTGGAAGAGGAAATGTTTGGTCTATACAATCCCATCCCAGACGAAAACCTCTGTAATCTGGGATTCTCCTTCGGAGAGGCGGCAAACGAGATTTGAGGACAGTGCTATTATCACCATTTGCGTTAGGCTGCTACTATTATGGTTTACACATTCGGTGTGACTTCCCTTTTCGTACATTGACACCAATCGATTCACTTTAGTTGGTTGGGATGGTCTCTTCCTTCCAGAGCTGTTCGAACAGTGAGACTATTGCTTTGAAGAGGACCTCACCACCATCCTGAAGTAGTGTGGGTCCAAGTCGACCGATGGCCTAAATGATTGTACGGCTGGCTTGCAATCTTTATGTCACCGCTTCGAATCCGCGTAGGAGCGTGCATCCTCGTGGTATACTCAGCCCACACTCCACCCATGGTGCTCGCGTGGCAGCGAACCGTCGGTACAGTATGCTGGCGTACTGCTGATGTCTTTCTTTTTCTTTTAGTTTGGATCCAAGGGAATCCGAACCAGTATCTCAAGGAGATTGGGTGCTGTGATCGCGTTCCGATTTCCGATGAACCTTCTAAACCACTTGACCATTATTCAGTTTGCACTACCTGAGTAGGGAGAGGTCCGAAAGCAAGGGACCAACTGAACTGATCTTAAAAATGTTCCGCCCGGCGCTCATTATTGTGATTGAGAGTACCCGCGCTATCTCTGCTTGTCTCACTGACGCCTGGTTTCCTGGGACCAGTGTTGCGTATCATTTGGATGAACTTGGGCTGTTTCCTTGGTGCTACCGCCTCCATTTCTTGGGCCCTACTTGTCTACTTAGCTTCGTTGTCAGCGCGCAGGCTTTGCTTCGGTTCGCGTCTAATACCCCCCCTTGTTACCTTGTCTTTAGTGCCAATCTAGGTTTTTTTCGAAATTTCAACGGTTTCACCGCATTCTCGGATATCCTGGGACTGATGCGGGAACCATTGATAGTGCCGCAAGCATAGGCTCTCGTGTTGTGTACGACGGCTAAGATTCTGTTCACCTGAAGCTTACTGTCCTTAGGACGAGAGAGCAGAAGTTCGGTAGGCAGGGCATCCTAGTAGGCTTACCAGAGCACGGGATGGGATAACTTTTCAGTTGTCAAGTGCGGGAGAAGCTTGGTACGACCCTCAACAAAGTTCATGCAAAAACAATAGCGTCGGAAAGCATAAATGGAGTGGACGCCCGTGTTCCGAAACGAGCGAACGATAGAACCAATCCACCTGTAAGTTATGCCAATGTGGTCTATTGGGGTCCATTGCTGATAGGGGAACGTTTCTGCGCCCACTGTGACTAAAAGCGGTGCTACAAAAAGCAATCGGTGCCCCGCGCACAGTTGAAACCGATAATTGGTAACACTTGGAAGTAGCGTGTTCAGTTGGTGGTAGCGCATTTCCTTAGCAGCATCAGAACTGCAGTTGTTGGGTGCATAAGCGGAACATATAAATAAACAGCATCTCGCGCGCTACTTCATGAATCAACCTTAGTTGACTCGTCAAACGGGCTGCACACGGGAATCCAATCAACCACAATGACTCAGCATTGGAGTTGAAAACAATACCTACCCCAGCTAGACCAGTGATTTCCGTTCATGGAGAATCATCCCCCGAGGAATTCCCTCCCTTTCTTGCGTTCCTGCTTGGCCAAGCTCTCTGATTTTTCAGTCGAAGCAGTGTCCCACATCCACGTATGCTGAGATTAGTGAGATTGTATGATGCTTTTCGCATGTTTTTCTTTGTTTTTACATCCCTGATGATGGCGTCCTTCTTGTCTGTCCCATAGAGTGCTTTTCCTAATTTCTGCAAGTTATTTTGGAAATGAAATTTTACCGTTACTGCGTTTTCCGGTTTCCTTTTGGTTTTGAAACTATTCATAAAATGGCGATTCATTTGTTGACTACAATGATGTGATGTTGTTTAAGCGCTCTAACGGTCATTTCAGATATGTTCCTCATATACGGCAAAATGATCCGCTTCCTTATTGTTGACATAGGTTCGGTGTTTACAGTCTTGTGATTTAAACATTTACGGAGGAGGTTGCATTGGTATACGTTACGGTCGAATGACTCGAATCGGTGTATTTCTTCTTCCTGTTTCTCTCATAATACTGATGGGTGGTTGTAATCTTCGAAACGGTGTTTTGTACATAGCTCACTTCTTGGCAGTTTATCTGATCACTGTTGAATTTCGAAATTCGGTCTTTCTCTGTTTACCTATCCTGTTAACCAACGTTTGTAGTTCATCGCTCATTGTTCCATCAAGAAACGAAGTTTGTTTCTTGCATCCGATTCGCTTGTAAATTGAATGTCGTCCATGGCATTGTTAGGTAGCCCGTGTATGTGGTCGCTTGAGTTTAACAGTTGTAGCGCGCCCACAGATTCGGATTAATAATTGGAAGTATCATCATCGTTATTATACACGTTAGCTAGGAGCGGGAAATACCTCAACTATTTTGTCGCAATCCATGAGAAAAGGCACGGCAGATGTCACCATTAACGGATGGACATCGTTCCGAAGACATAGTAGCCAGCTATTATGCCACAGCGCATTGATCGCACTTCTCCCTAGGCGGTCCCCTTTTATCCGGCGTTAGCCGCAGAAGTCGAACTGGTGATCAGATTGTTGAAATTAAATAAGGCCGCAGGAGCAAATAGACTTCCTCCAGCCCTCTTCAAATTCCGGGGACCTGCTCTCATGGATGATTCGCACAACCTTTTAGTGAAGATGTGGGAGCAGGAGACTGTGCCGGCAAACAGGAATCGCTCCGTTATAATCCCAATTTTCAAAGAAGACACGTTCTTAATATGGCAATCATAGTGGCATCAGTCTGGTCTCAAATTGCGTCTAAGATACTCGCCTCCGTCGTTCTTCATAGACTTGAACTCGTGAAAGCGAGATTCGCAAGGAGCAAGCCGACTTTTGTCGACATCGAGGCTGCATTGGCCACATATTTACTTTACTTCAGTTGTTGTAACACCGCCATATTTATTAGTGACCCACCATAGTCTTGTTTCTCGATATCAAAGATGACTTCTCTTCGGTGGATCGATGTGCCCCTCGGGACTGTCTGCTCAAGAAATGCGTGCCTCATAAATATGTAAGCATTATCAGAGCGGCGTACATGCATAGTTCGATCAGAGTGATTGTTTATGGCAAACTGTCTCCGGCCTTCAGTATTTCCAGCGGCGTGAGATAAGGTTACCCGCCGTCCTTTTTGCTTTTTAACTTCCTATTGACGGTCATGAAAACTACGTTCAATTAACTGAATGAGCAAGCGTCGGACTTAGACTGTACTGGTGATATCGCCTTACTTGGTGACGATTCTCAGAGTATGCATTTCATTCTGAATCGTTTGACGATTGGTGCATCTAAGTACAGAGTGTGTTTCGCCTCCTCGAAGTATAAATTGCTGCTCCAGGATTGGGCCGCATTTTCTCCCGTGCTCACCGAAGTTGCACAGCTTGAACAATCAATTACTTTGGTCTGCCTTGAGAGTTGTGTTTCTACTGGCGGCACTATCTGCAAGGAATTTTCGCTTTGCATCGTTTAAGCCCTGTCAGCACTTGTGGCGTATTCGGGACATTTCTATCTCGAAAAAGTGCCGTGTTTGCGGTGCCTGTTGGTTCAGTATGGGAGCGAGTGCTGGCCAATTTGCTTGGAGGAGATGCATCATCTTTGTGCTTTCGACAAGTTGTTTGAAGAGAATTGTTCGTGGTAACACCGAGTTCGCAGTGAGAACGTTCGACGTCAAGTCCTGGATAATACCCGTTTGCCATTTAATTTGCTGGTTTCGCTTCGTCATCTGAGCCGAATCGGTCACTTCTTACGCATGACGCCGCGCTCTATTCGCTCGTCCAGGAACGGGTGACCGTGTGCTTGTCATCCTTTCACTTGGCAACAGCACATGAAATAGCTGACGTCACGTTTAACCACCATCAGACCCGTACGTCTTCGTGGATGGGGATCCAGGGATCAGGATTGCGTGGCTTGGCACGTTTGCAGACAAGTCCCTCAACTGGAATCATTGCGAATCAACCAATCACAAGATACAAGTAGCGGGACGACTCAGTCACTTGGCGCATGCTCATAAGTCACATGCAACTATCGCTAGAGAGTACCGAAAGAGAGAGAGGATCGATTGATGACCAACCGGTGACCGATTAATGCGCTTCCACGGTAGACTCAAAATTGCAGTCCGTTGCTTCTCTACACAGAGCTGTAGCTCTTCTCAATCAATAGCGATAACTTCCACTGGCCTGAGAATGGGGGGGCTTCTGCTCGTGCCTCAGAATTTGGTGATAGGTGCTCAGCAGGTGCCTTCTGGTTGTTGATGAAGCTCAGCTCATCGCTTTACTCGCTTCCGTCGTCATAGATCCCACTTTGCAATGTGCTCTTCGATTCTAACACTCAAAATTCGGTCGATGTGGATAGCATAGATTTCTCTACAGCTCCAGCTAAGTTTAAATAAACAACAGGACGTGCACCACCTCGTCGTCTAGATCTTAATAGGACAGAGAAGCAAGGGTCTTGTCGATATGAGCTGACATAGTTATACTGCGTTGTACGCCCTTTCTGTTGAGGCGTTTATTCGTTTGGCAGTGGCTCATGATGTGGTCACATCTGAGCGACAATACAACCCATTGTTTAGCGACCGTTACTCCTCCTGAACTAAGCGCCCTAATGCATATCCACTAACGTCAATAGCCACATTGACTAATCTTCCGCACACCTCTGTCATGGTAACTTTGAAGGACAACTCGATAAAAATCTACATTTGCGTAATTTTGCACTGTTCCACTAATCTTTTCGCCTCACTCGTCTTTCCGTTCTATGGACCTACCTATTTCATCTCCATTTCTCCTACGCTATCCATCACCATGCTGTTCAAGTTTTTTATCTGTTACCGTTGTTGCTCTTGCGCCTATCTGCGATAAGTATGATGTCCAAAAACGAGGTACATCAGTAGCAACATAGGTGTTGTTGTACATTTTACATTATCCCCTTCGTTTCCTTTTTTGAACATTATAATCATAGTCTTTCAATCACTTGTGCTTCTTCCACAGGAGTTCTGAAAAGAAACCATCCAGCCGACGCCGTGAGCGCCGTTTTGCCACCGTTACCCCTCCCGAACTAAGCACCCTAATGCAATCCACTAACGTCGATAACCGCATTGGCCCTGCTCTTCCGCACACTTCTGTCATTGCATCTGCAGTTAAGACGAGCAAGATCATACGCGCGTCGATGCCACTTATCTCAGAGTCCCTAGCTTATCAGGCGAACGAACGACGGCCGATGTCATCCGTAACGGCGTCCTCACTTCCCTCTGGCTTCCTCACCGCGTCTCGCCAATCCAACTGCACTCCTCCCGTAATCGACACACAATCTCATATTCGATCCAACTCGTTTTCTGACCCCACACAAGTGTCCAATCGTCCTCATACATCTGCAACCCCTGTTTGCTCTGTGGCCAAAACCCATTCCACATTGAAAGGTATTGGCGCACAATTCCACTTTCCGACTACATTAGTTTATCAGCTCAGTGGAATTTTCGGTCACTTGCTTTTTCTGATTCTTATTTTCCCTCCTTTAGGTTTACCATGGTTGTCGCCGAAGTCAATCCAGCTGCTTGCTAACCAATCTTCAGTACTCACGAACTCCTCTGGCGTATCCAGAGAAGCATCTACATCCACTCTTCTTCCACTATCCCGGAGTCTGCCTCCTAAAGACAACGAGCTTCTCGCCCCTCTTTCATCCCAAAAGCCTGTCTCACCCCCAAAGCCGGGGCGGCGGAAGCGGTGCTCACTGTGTTTGCGGAAAACCGGTCTTGTCGGCGGTTACTCATGCCGGTGAGGGTGGTGTGAGAGTGCTCTTTGCACGCTTGCCATAACATGACCCATGCAGTTGGGGGTGACTTAGCCAGATATTTCATGTTTCTAGGAGGAAATAAGTTGAATGTCTCACCTTCTCTCCATACTACCGGAGCTTCTAGCATTTCTGCTCTTTTACCTATCGTGCCAAGCATACTTATCGGAAATCCTTTGCTGTAGACTTAAATTATATCTAAAAATTCTGTCATAAATCACTTGTTTATCTTGTATGACTTTTACAATAGGATAGCTCATATGCACGTTCTCTGTACCTGTCACATCGCATAACCACATAGGTTCATTGTGTGAAATTCAGACCTTATATGGACTGCATTCTCTGATACCGAGTACATCTGTTCAACTTACCCCCTATGTTCCCATGCAACACGTTTTACTATCATGTTCTTCCTCATTGTCTATTCCCACCGTGGAATCGCTCTCTTCATGTTGCTCACATTTGTTACCTATTTGGCTCTGGCATCGTAGCCCAATGCTTCCGGTTTGGACTGCCTGCCACTTAGTAAACATGCTCACCGAGATGCTGGCTACAAACGATTGTGGAGTGAACACTGGAATCTCCTAGGTTCTTCAAGTTGACGACCAACGCGTCGAAGTGTTCTGTACCCTCGGGTTAACTTATTGACAATATTTCTGATCTCGGACTGTCCTGAGACAACCTTTTTAGTTTTAATGTGCAGTTTGTCTATTGTGTGCACACTTTCCCTTAGCCAATTGTTATGCTTTGCAACTGTAACTGTGCGACTCTAGTGTGGATTGGCACATAACGCTATGATTGTGTATATTTCGTTTCTACCGTCGTTGTGCGCAAACCCGATTCATCATTGCGTTGTACCGTCCACTCGAAGCCCAGATAGATCTTTTTTGTAATGATGCTGTCTATTAAAGTTAGGCTGTAAACATGCGCTCTATGGGTGCTTTCATGTCGGTCTCAACAGCTGTCAATGTTGTGCCTTACGTTGACCTATTTCGTGTTCATATTTGAAGGCTTATAATTTGTATTTCTGAATCATCTAGTAATGACGTCTCTGATTTGATACTACCGATAATTCTTGCATCAGACTAGTAACTGCTAAGAGCTGAATCCTAAGTTGAATGAGCATCACCTCACCAATTCTGTTTAGACAACTGAGGACAATCGCATACTCTCCTTATACAATGATTAAAAATTTCTCCGCCGCAGCCAAATCGAACTAAACGTAGTGCGACGTTTTACTCGCCTTGGGAGCTACCATTGCCTGTCATACCGGTTATCATCTCGATCATGCCACGCCATTGTCCCGCGCTGGCAGACTTACATTCTGCTTGTATACCAACTAATGTGCACTATGTTTCTCTATATATTCACATGTCTCGTCTTTACAGAAGACAATATACTCTTTGTTCCTCCACTTTCTCTCTGTGATAAGCTCATTGAGCTCCGAAACTGCGCCTCCTGTCGCTTACTTAAGACGGAATTGAGTTCTTTTTGATCATAAAAATCTGTGTGACTTAAACCATAATAGTGATCTTCAGTCCTTGTGGAATTGCTGGTAGTAATTTTTTAGTCTTGCTCTCTCACACACCTACCTTCCCGTGTTTTTCCTGATTTATGTAAGGACTTTGGGACGTTACCGCTGAGTGTTTTATGAGCCAAATGACAAATTCTTGACTTCCCTCGTACATGCTTTAGAATTCGTCACTGGTTCGTGGCATTTCGGAGTTCTTCACCTTGAGCCAACCTTGAAGCTATAGATTCAGTCATTTTTGCATGTTGTGCAAACTGGCAGTGGACTATTCCGCAGTTTTTTGGATAACTTACTCCTTGAATACTCGTTTCACTCATTTCTTTTTCTCTTTTGCTAGCTGTGGGCGCAATTTTTGCTTCCGTCATCGGTACGCCGAGCTGCATGCTTGCCCTTTCGATTACAAGGCCGAAGCGAGACGCACACTGATAGACTCCAACCCAGTTGTCACTGCTCCCAAATTACCCAAGATATAAAAGTTTCTTCTACATCACATCACGCACTCCACCAACTCACATTCCTCGCTCGCCTTTTCGAACGCTGTTTCGCTCACATTCACGCTTCCGTCGGCTGCTGCGCTAGACCTGTTGTTATACGCCGTTTTCTCTGTGATCTGGTCTACCTTGTTCCTCTGCCGATATGTCCCAATCGCTTCATCTGTGATAGCTCTTCTTGCCTCACACATAAGCGAAGACACCGCATTGTAGGACACTGTAAGGCTAATGAGATTCCTCTCACGAATGCCGCAACACAAACCCGATTAACATTCGTCGATGTGTAGCTCCTGTTAATTGTTGAAGATCTCTGTGTATGGATTCCACCCGACCACCGGTTCCGACTGCATTGGTCAGCTGACAGTAAGCGGATTCGGAAGGTTACTACTCACTCTTGCTTGTGGGATATGCGCACGAACGGTTCCGAATGTTGGTCATCGCTTCGGATCCATTACCACTACCCGTTTCGCCGCTTCCACCACATATCGGCCGTCCTGTCGTGTCGTTTTCGTTGCTCTCTCCTCTCAGTTTTCTCTTTGGTTGCTTAGTTCCGTTTCTATGCACTGGTTTTAACCCATTTCCTCTAGTTCTACTTGTGTTGCAATGTTCTGTAGCGGTTTACACTTTTCTCTGACAATATAACGCGGACAAATCAAGCAGCTTGCATTCGCGGTGACCCAGTTCACTTCATACCGTGGTATATGTACTTGTATTCACGTGCGCAAAGTGTGTTTCTTGTGCTGCTTCCGTTACTCATTTGACGACCAAAATAGCCTCCGAGCCGCCTCAATCATTATGGAATCCCGGCGAAGTCGCTTTTATTTTGAGATGGTACGTAATATACCTGTTCCATGTATTGCATTTATTTCTCTACCCATTCAACTGGCCGGGGCTCACTTATTCGTACCGTGTTCATCGCAGTTAAGCTATGCATAATCTCGCGCATCCGACATACCGCTAGCCAGTCATTTCGTCTCTTTAGAGTTCGCAAGTAGTGCATCTAATTACTAACTTTCCTTTCTGAGCGGTCCGTTGAGTGTGTTGCTAATTAGAGTTCGTTGCGGTGCGACCCATTTGTTTTAACAGTTACTCCTGTGCTTTAAGCTACGACAACTTTTCGTCGGAACCCACAGCATCTGGAGAGCCTTAGTCCATAGTTGAAAGAGCCAGCACTGTTCCGGTGCCAAGGACGCGCTGTTGCTCGGGCTCTCTTTTTGTTGTGAGACCATACCTGGACTACCTCACCGATCAATCGGTACCGGAATGGTTCTGCGACAAGGTTCGTAATCCCAGTCTGATTTGAGCCTGCATATGTTCCG